GAGGAAAGGGCACCTTTGGAGGGCTCTTCTGTTCTAGGCCAGTGCCTGTGAAGAGTCACCTGTGCCCCAGGAGCTGATTTACGCGGTCGGGGAGAGCAGACCCACACCCAAGGGTCACCACCTATTTAATAAAGGGAAAATAAGAGCAAACAGAGACCACGCTCTTTCCCAGCTGCTGGAAGCCACCAGCAGGCACCTGCCCGTGTGTGTGCCGTGCTGGCTGCGCGCTGCCGCTTGTCCGTGCCCTCCGACTCTCCTTACAGATTTGTTGCTATGGTGAGAAAAGCCAAGCCTTAAATATTGAACGCCCTCCCTGTTATCTCAGCTGGTGTCTGCTGTGTGCAGGTATCAGTTGGTGTGTGTTAAAACAAATAAGATATTAAAGAATATATGCTTTGCACTGTGGGCAGGTTCTGCCTCCAAATTTTGGGTTTGTTGCTTTCTTTTTCTCTGCTTCAATTCTAACTTGGTTTGTTTTCGCTGAAATTAACCTTGAACTCTGCCCAATAGCGCAGAGGATTACAACTGTTTATGTCCTAATTGGGGAATAGGACCAGTAACCTGTCAAATCAAATTTTTCCTCTTGAGAAGTTACAGTCAAATGCAGGACAGTTCCCACAAAATATTTTGCTATATTATTTGGCGTTTGCCTGAAGTCTGCACCAGCAGATCACAGCAAAGTTTGGAGCACTATATGGCTTTGTGCTTAACATATTACTGGAGGAAAATGAGTTTACAAGGTGTTTTATACAGTGCAAGCCTGCAGCTTCACTGGGAGCACTCGCAGGGCCTCACTCTGACCTCCCCGGGCTGTTGATAACGCTCCTGCTGATTTACTGATGCCAGCACAGGACACTGCTCAGCCTGTTTCAAAGCCCCAGGGTGGAAAATAACCAGGAGGGAAGCTGCTGCCAAAGCAGAGCGGCGGAGATGCTGCAAACAGGACAAGTGTTCTGCCTCTGACGGTCCCACCAGCAGTGAAAAACACAAACTAGGCTTTTCTGAAGCAGAAAACCTGGAAGCCCTTGCACCCCACAGGGCAGCCCTGCCCGAGGCTGGCCGGGAGCACTCACAACAAAGGAGCTGCTGCTGCGCCCACATTCTTGTGGTGCAAGTGCTGCTCTGCTGCCCAGCCCCAGGAATGGCAGACCGAAAAAGCTCTGGAACAAAGCGGGACACGTTCTCCAGAGCAGAGGCATTTTTGTTTGTACAGCATAAAGCAAGGCCTGCTGTTCGTGCTGGATGTTTAAACGCTAGCTGGGAGCCCACAAACGGTGCTTCGGGGCTTACTTTTGTTTTTTCCAAGTAACTTCTGAAATTGCAATCTGATGAATCAGAGGAATGAAGGCTGATATTCCTGCTAGTTCTCGGAAACAGGGGATGTCAGGTCCAGGGCAGTAGCAGAGTTTGTGGCCCCTGAAGACCACTTTAGATCTTTTGTAAATATAGTTTGTTTTTTATAAATCTTTTCACCTCTTTTCTAGAAATGCCTGAGCAAGGGAAAAGGTTTGGAGTGGGTGATTTTCAAACAAAACAGAGACACAAAGGCATTGTAAGAAAGAGTCACTTTCTCTTTAGGTAATTGGTAGCCTGAAAATTGTGTGTTCAAGTTGGCTCTGAGTGACGCAGGGGGGTTGGGATACAGAGTCTGGCATTCAAGCTCTGGAAATTATTTCTGTTGGAGCTGATGTTCCACTTTTGAAACAATAATCAGAAGTGAACTTTGCACGTGGACAAGAAGTGGCAAGTTTTAGTTAAAAGCATTGACAGGAAAGCAATGAAGCCTTGTGCACACCTTCAGAGCTGTTGGCTTATGGGGGGATTTATTCAAAGGCAATGAAACCTCTCCTGCTCTGGGTGGCCCCTCAAGCTGCTCACAGGCTCAAGTGTCATTGGAGGCAGTTTCTGTGCTGCTGCCTCCTCCTCCTCCTCCTTCTGGTCTCATGTTTCTCTGAGGTAGCTCTGAGTCTCCTTGGCTCACCTGGGAGCTTTGGGCTCAGCAGAGCAGCGTGTGTTTGGGAGTCAGGGTCAGTGTGCTTTCTGCAACTGCAGCCAAATACAGGGACCCAAAGGTGCCCCAGCCTCCTCCCTGCCTCTGAGCTGCCATGTGTGTGCACGCCCACGAAGCCACCTGAGCTGAGTGACCAGCCCTGTGTGCTCCCGCCTCCGCTGCAATGCCGATGGAATAAAGGGCATTTTAAAGACCCACATGCCATCTCTGTAATTTCAAGACATACAGTGGCTGTGATCTGCTTTTAGGAATGATTTATTTCTTCCAAGAGAGGTTTGTACTTGTATGTCAGGAGAAGCTCAGCATCCAGCTGGAAGAGATGCAGCAGTGGTCTGGAAGGACCTGCTTCACATACTCCCAATCTCAGTTTTATGGCTTCAGTCCAGGTCTTTGGATGAAGTGAAATGCAACAGCAAAGGATAGCTAATTGGGTCCTAAAACAACTTCTGGAGTCTCAAAATACATCACCTTCTTGGTCATCTAACCATAGGTGTGGGTTGTTAATCCAAGGCAAAACTGAAAACAATGTCTTAGTGTGGGACTAAACTGATTTCTAACGTGGGAAATATCTCTTATACAGATTCTGAGTTTTTTAGTCAGGGAAACTAGGCAGATGAGAACTTTTTTTATTAGGCAAATAACAGGCACTAATTTCCTGTTTGTATCGGAAAAGCCTGTGAGTTGCTTGAAAGGGCTTCCTTCCACCTGTTTTATGTAAAACTTAATCTACACCTTTCCCTTCAGCTGAACTACTTATGTCTTGGTTACATCAAAGCATTTAAAGGCTCCTCACTACAGGTATCTTCATTTTAGATTGTAAAATTACCATTCTATCTTCAGAGCACTCAGAAGTTAAATTCTGCCTGTTTGGGATAGTTAACTATGGTAAATATTTTGGATTATTTATGGAGATATGAGGCTTAAGCAATGCAGACAAAAAAAAAAAAGTGATTGAAATGAAAAACGTGGCACGTAAGGACAGTTCTAAGTGACAGTCTTCCCTCATTTCTTATAGCAGCACGTGGAAAAAGCCTAGAAATTGATGTAGTGTGAAGCCTGTAAGGCAGGGGACGGGTGAGCTCTGCACACAGCAGGTTCACCAGTCACCCAGAGGGTGGAAAAGAGCAGCTGCTGTGACAACACCGTGGGCACGTCCCCGAGAGGCAGAGCTGTGACCCGCACCAGGGGCTGTGCCTGGCTGCTCTCCAGCACTCCCCAGCCCAGCGTGGGCTGGCTCTGGCAGGCTGCCTTGGCACAGCCAGACACAGGAACAGGTTTTCAGACCTGGAAAAAACACCCAGCAGACGCTCTGTGCTTCCACCTTGTCTGCTGGCACCACATGCAGTGCCTTTCTATCTCCACTCCTCAGAGTCTGGAGCAAAGCAAGCTAAATTACATGAAATCCAGTGTCTTGGGTGGTTTTAGACACAGTGTGAGGGGCAAGGACAGAAGAAGAGCTACAATAAATAGGATGAATAAAGCAAATCCCCTTACATGCTCAAAGCTATTATTTGAAAGTGGCAAACTGCATTCATGCCTAAGTTTGCATTATTTCAATAACAAGAAAATTATCTGTTTTAAGAAATAAGATAAGTCTGTCACATCCCAGCCTCACTTTTCTTTAAGAAAAGCCACAAACCCACACCTGGAGACAGGGTTTCTTCAAGGCTTCTGTGGCTTCTGACAGTGCCAGAGCCTCTGCAGCTCCTGAGGAAATGTCTCTTTCCTGATGCCCACCTCAGTGCTTAGTTTGGTTAATGGATTGAGATAATACTGTCCAGGAGAACCTCAGACCAGCCCCATTAGGCACCAGTAGCTGAATACTTGAAGCATATTAAATTACCTGAAGTTGCAAGCACACAGCTCTGATCCCTTCCAGGCATAAGGAGGACTTGAAATTCATGGTAATTTTCTTTGTGTGAATAGCAAGGTGAACTTTGCTTTCCATTTCAGCATTTAACACAGGGCAAATATCAGATTTCCTGCAGCTTGGGAGGAGCGTGTTTGAGTGTTCATGTAAGTTAAATCATATTTCACATACAAAAATACTAAGATAATATTGTTTCCAACATTAACATACAACATTTACCAAGCTATCTCTATAAGAATTAGATAAAACTATTAATTCTGGGCCAAAATCCAATTATGACGAATTTTTTCAGGGGCCCCCAGCTTGTCAAAGAGCTTGGTAATAACAGAGTGTATGTTTCTGAAGGCTGTGACTAGGGAATCCAAAGGCCTAATTATGTTTCCAGTGGTATCTTCTCAGATCCTCTCAATGCAATAATAAGAAGTGAACATAACTCTGCAATGGTTTACGCCAACCAGCTTAAAAATTAAGGGTGCAGCTTTGTAAGTCCCGAGTACACACAGAGTGCCATGCAGTGCAGTCCCAAAAAGGAGAGATTACCTGAATTAGAGCCTAAAATCAGAGAAATGAGCATGTGATTTCCCCACCCCAAGATGAAGATCCAGAGGAAGATGCCAACATCTTTATCTCAGCTGGGCCGGGGTTTCATGCCTTCTCCCAACTGCCCTGAAATAGGTACAGTTAAGTCTGTGGCCTGGGTTACAGAAATCAGCACTTTTGCATATCATTTGTGGGCTTAACTGCTTTGCATATGGTTATCCAGGGGAAAATCAGAAACGGGGCATTGGTTTCAGGCCACTCGTCAGTGCACAGCGAGGGGTTGGAGCACACCCTCCCTCAACTACAGCCACACAGTCACATCTTTTCACCCCCTTTGCCTCCACTCTTTGGCCATTCCCCAACATTCTTCCACTTCTCATCCTCTTCCCCCATCATACCCTCTACCTGTGTGTTTTCCCATAAATTTTCTTTTTTCCTTGTGGTTTCTCTGAGGCATTACCTCCCAAGCTCCCAGCCCAAAGGACAGCCCTTGGCAGCATCACAAGGCAGCAGAGGTGCTCCAGGAGGACCCTGCCACCCCAAAACCTGCTGCAGCAGAAGACAAGGAGACACTTGCTGGTGCTTTCTGGTTTTTATTAAGAGGCCCACAGTCAGGTTCTCAACCCCATGGCAAGGGTGCTGAGGTAGTGTCACCCTGCCCGCCCCAGTGTCCCCAGGGTGGGGGGTCACTTGGCAAAGCCCTGGGTGTCACAGCGGGGTCCCTGCCACTTGTCATAGCACTGGCAGCTGAACTCCTTGGCCAGTTTGGAGATGTCCTCCCCAGGCTCCAGGCTCTGAGCCTCCAGCCAGGGCTTGCCAGCACGCAGGTCGATGGTGAAGCGGGAGGGGTCCAGGTGCAGGTAGCCCTGCTGCTTGTCCAGGCGCACGCAGCGGCCCCGGCCGGAGCACAGGCTCTGGCTGCACAGGTCAGCACTGGCCGTCACGTTGACGATGTAGTGGCCCAGGGGCCCCTCCACGTAATCCTTCAGCCTCAGACACATCTCCTGCAATGGCATTCGGTGTCACAGCCCTGCACAGCTGAGGAACTGGGGGTCCCTGCTGACAGGGACTGATGCCACTGTCTGCACTCACCTTGGAGGCGCTGTAGTCCATGCTGCCCCAGAGGATGATGCCAGCAGCACCCTGAGCCGCGCTCTCCCCGATGGTGTTCATCAGGTCCTCCTGCACCCACGGGCAAAGGAGAAGTCAGCAGTGCCCAAAGCCCCCACACAGCCCCAGCAGAGATAAAGACTCCCTGGTGCCAACCCATCAGCCCAAGAGGTGCCCACTATCCCCACATCCCCATCACCTGGGAAAGGAAGTCCAGAGTGCGCTCGAAGGCGATCTGGGAGTAGGGCAGGACGGGGATGGCACTGTCAAGGATCCCCTGCTGGACAGCGAAAGCCTCGGCCACGCGGTGCCGGACATAGGCAAGGACCTTGTTGGTGCCATTGAGGCAGAGGGGCAGGTAGATGCTGGGGTAGAGTGCCCTGCTGCTCCTCCAGAGCCAGGACAGATTCTTGTTCCTCTGCTGCTCCACATCTGGGCACGTCCCGTTGTAGTGCAGGCTGTCAAAGTGATTGTTGTAGCAGTCGGGGAAACCGTAGAAGCCCCAGTAGGCGCTGGGACGGAGGCTCTCGCCCAGCCACAGGGTCTTGTTCATGAAATCGCAGGCGCTCTTCTCAAACTGCTGCTTGGCCATCTCCTCCACCTCCTTGGGAGGCCACTGCGGGTGCTGCTGCTGCACCAGCTCCTCCGACTTCTGCTGGTAGATCTCCATGGAGTCCCAGTTGCGGATCCACAGTGGGCGCCACTTCTCCCAGTCGATGACAGCCAGCCCGCTGTAGTCGGGGCTGGGCAGGGTCACCTTGATGTCCTGGGTGGCCTGGTGGATGTGAGCCTCCAGGCTGGCATTTTGGGGGAGTCCCCCATTCACTGGCACCCCCTCAGATGTGTAGTAGGGGAAGAGACCCATCTTGTCGCTGTAGAAGAGGGTGATGTCCTGCCCGGTGAAGGACTGCTGGTCATTGGCCAACACATCAAAAACCTCCAGGCTGAGGGTGACATTGTGCATCTCGGCGCAGCGCTCAGTGGGGATGTTCCAGATGGTGACAAAGGGCCGGTTGACGAGGACAGGACCGGGCCCTCCAGCGTGGGTCAGGGCAGGCAGGAGCAGCAGGGGGAGCCAGCAGGACCACGCTGATGCCATGGTGCTGGTGTGCTCAGCGTGAGTCCTGCAGCTGCCTGGGGAGAGCTGAGACCTCGAAGCTTTTATCCCCAAGTCAGGACCGGCATTAATCCACACCTCCGTTCCCCAGCGGTGCCGGTCACCCAGGGTCACCTCTTCCACTTCCTCAAAGTCCCCTGAATTTATCAGCAGCTGGAGGCCAGCAGAGCGGCCCCGGAGTGGGACAGCAGCGTCAGCCCCGCGGAATGAGCGGCGGCGGCGGCTCGGCTGGGAAGGAATGCGCAGAGTCAACACCCCATGACTGGCCGGCGATGAGTGGGCTGGAAAGACAAACAGACACGGACGGGGCGGGGGGAGCAAGGTCACGGTGATGGGCTGCGCCGGGCGGGCGCCGCTCGCCGTTCCCTGGCGGGAGGAGGGCACTGCCGGGAGGGAGCTCACGGCACCGGGCGCGACACAGCCCGCGGTGGCACGGGACACTCCCGCGTGGGCACTGCAGCCACAGGAGGGCACGGCCCGGGACCACTCACGCGTGGGGGCAGGAGGCACAGAAAGGCACGGCCTGGGGACACCCACAGCACAGGAGAGCAGCCCCAGCGAGCACGGCACGGGGACTCACAGCAGCCGAGGAGGGAGGGAGGTGGCTGTGCCACGCGGGGCCGCTCCATGGCCACGGGCACCCCTCAGGACAGGGCAGTGGCCCGAGAGGCTGCACACGGGCACAGGCACAGCAGGGCAGTGTCGGGGACTAGGAGCCACGCGAGGGCACCGCTGGGGGACACTCGTGGCACGGGACAGCGGAGCTCAGGGGCGGGCGCGGCCCAGGGCTGACCCCGGCCCCGCGGGGCTGAACCTCCCCCCGGCCGTGGCGCACAGCACGGTGTCCCACAGGGCGATCCCGGCCCCGGGGGCTGCAGCCCCGCATCCCGGACACTGCCGGGGGCTGCGGCAGCGCCACGCGGGGAGCGCCGCTGGGGGCGGGGCCGCGCGCAGCTCCACGTGGGTGGCCCGGCCGTGGCTGCCCACGCGGCTCCGGCCCCGCGGGGCCCTCCGCCCCTTCCCCGAGCGGCCCCGGCTCCGCGGGGCACTTCCCAGCACAGCAGAGCTTTCCCCGAGCTGCATTCCAACACTCCGCTTCCGGAACCCCGTCCCGGCGATTGTGACCGCGAGCCGAGTGACCCGTGCCCGCCTCGCCCCAAATCAGCCCACACCTCTCAGTCTGACCCAGCTTTATTCGAGGTAAAGCACTTCAGTGTGGGGCAGCACACGGGGGATCAGCACCACGCAGCACCCGCTCCCCGCCCCCGTGTCCCTCTTGCCCCCATCCCTCTCCTTACAACAGGAGAGGGGTCCCCCTCCTCCCCCCGTCCCCATGAAGGGCACCTGCATTGCAGCAGGGTGGGTAGAGATGGGGCAACCGCAGAGCTCTTCCCCCACACCACCACAGTGAGGGACAGCCCTCCGTAATTAGCTGCCTCCCAGGCAGGGTAGGGATATCTTAAATAGGCTCCTCCTACACCTCCACAGAAAGGGGCAGCTCAGTCCAGGGGCGGGTAGCACCAGCTCGCAAGCAGCAACAGCAGCCCAAGTCCCAGCGGTGCCAAAGGGCCAGGGGCATCACCGCGGGGGCCAGCGCGTGTCTGGCAGCCACTGCCCTGCCAGCCCTGGTAGCAGTGGCAGTGAAAGTGGGTCCGTAGGAAGAGTATGTCAGCAGAGGAGAGCTGGCCCTCTGCCCAGAAGAGGGGGCGCTCGGGGTGGTCAGCATCCCGGCGCCGCAGCTGGAAGTTGGTGGAGTTGAGGTGGAGAAAGACATCGGCATGGCTGTCCTGGCGCAGGCAGCGACCCCGGCCCTGGCACAGCGTCGTGCTGCAGAGCTCCGCTGCTGTCGTGACATTCACAATGTAACGTCCCAGGTCCCCCTCCAGGTAGTTTTTCATGAACTGGCACAACTCCTAGGGAAAGGGAAGAACCAGGGTGAGACCCAGGGAGGAGTAACTCAGATGAGGAGGACAGCTCAGCCACGGGTCCGCCCCTGGGGCAGGTGATCCCTCCACCCATCTACCTCCCACTCTGACCCCAAACTTACCCGGTTTCTAGTGTCAACTGCATCACCCCACAGAATGGCCCCAGCTGCACCCAGTGCTGCGCTCTCTCCGATGGTGGAGATCAGGTCTGCCTGTGGGGACAGGGTCTGGTTAGTGCCCACAGAGCCCATGCAGCACCCACAGCCCCAGCACAGTGTGCTCCAAAGTGTCCACTGCAGGATCAGGACCCAATCCCAGCTCCAAGGAAAAGGGACTGTCCCAACAACTTGGGGGCAAGGCTGCCCAATACTGCCCTCCTCCTCAAGGGCTAAGCCAGCACAGCACAGGGGCTGTGGGCACACACACCACAGGGTCCTAGATGCCAGGACCTGAGTCCTGCAGTACATCCCAGGTACCTCCCTGGAGATAATCACCACTGGTGCCAGTCCTGCTGCCAGACATCCCATCCATAAACGAAACAATTTGTAGCACCCCATCATCTACCCCAGAGAGGGGCTGAGCTGGGGGTCCTACGAGAGGAAGCACTCCTCCTGCTCCCTGGGGCCAGCTGCCAGTCCCATGCCAAAGGGTGCTGCTTCCCACCACATGGAAACAGTCAAACCATGTGCCAGTAACACCACGAGTGCCGACACCAGCCTCCAGAGCCACCCTGCTCCATGGGAGCAAGATGCAATTCACAGGCAGAGGAACCACCTCAGCTGACCCCAAAGCCCAGATGTGCAGGGCTTGGAATGAGGATGTCCCAGTGGCACAGCCCTACCTGGCTGAGCACATTCAGCTTGCGGATGTAGGTGGGCCGGGTGTAAACGAAGACAGGTAGGGAGTAGTCGTCGTGGTGCTTCTGGGAGATGCGCATGGCCTCCATCACCCGCGCCCGCACAAACTTGCGGCTGTTAGGAGTGGAGTCCAGGAGCGGGTCGAGGTAGATGGAGGGGTAGAGCGCCATGCTCTCCTTCCAGAGCCACTTCAGCTGGTCATTACGAGACTTCTCCACATCTGGGCACTGCCCGGTGTAGCTCTCCTTGTTCTTGCTGTAGTCGTGGTTGTAGCAGTCAGGGAAGAGGTAGAACCCCCAGAGCTGTTTGGGTCGGAAGCTCTTGGCCTTGCGCAGGGTTTTCACCATGAACTCCTGGGCAGCCGACTCAAACTCAAACGCTGCCTGCTTGTTCACCTTCTCAGGGGGCCAGGTGGGCTGACGCTGTAACACCAGTTCCTGTGACGCCTCCCGGTAGATATCCTTGGGCTTCCAGTTGCGAGCCCAGACAGGCCGCCACTCCTCCCAGTCGATGACAGCCAGCCCTTCTTTGGTGGATGAGCGGATGTACTTATCGATGCCGTCCTGGAGGCGGGCGAGGTGCTCGGACAGGCTGCTGTTTTGGGGGACACCACCATTGACGGCCACACCTTGATGGGTGTAGTAGGGGTAGAGTCCCAGGCGTTCCTTGTAGAAGATGGTGAGGTTCTGTCCCACGAAGCCCTCGTTGGGGGAGGCGTACAGGTCGAAGATGCTAAAGTCGAACGACACCTGGAAGCGGGGCTTGCAGTCCTGGGTGGGCACATTCCAGGCCACCAGGAAGGGCCGGCGGGTGAGATGGGGGGCGGCCGACGGCTTCTCGGGGGGCTGGCGGGCCAAGGCCAGCAGGGCCAGCCAGGGAACAGCCACCGCCGCCGCGCAGCCCCCGCGCATCCTGCCCGACAGGACCTGGGGGCGGCGGGAGAACAGAGTCAGAAAGGGGGGCCGGCAGGAGGGGGTGCAGGCAGGGGCCGCTCTGCCCGCACCCCCCAAAGCGGACCCTGATCCGAGTCCCCTCCCGGGGCAGAGAGCTCCCGGGAGGTGCGGACAGAGCCCCGGCTGAGGGCTGGCTCTCGGGAATCCCGGTCCCAAGCGGCTTCGCCCGCTCAGTGCTCTCCCGGCTGCCGGCGCGGCGCTGCCTTTGTTCGAGCCGGGCAGACAAAGCGCCGGGGCGCGGCCCCCGGCGGCCCCGCTCCGCTCCCGCTCCCCGCGCGGCTCTCACCGCGCCTCAGGCCATCCCCCGCCGCGGGCTCCTCTAGCACCGCCGCTGCCCCCCCGCCGCCGCTTTTAAACCTTCCGGCACGCACCATCCGCGGGGGTGCCGGCCCCGCCCCCGCGCCCCGCCCGCTCCGCGCCGGGCTGGCGGCACCGACCATCGCGGGGCCCCGGGCCCCGGACGGCGGCGGAGCCCCGCCGCACACACACACCTCCGTGGGGCCGCGGTACCGGGCACCGGGGAGTCATCCCCCTGATCCCGCCGCGATTGGTACGGCCCGGGAGGACCCGCCCCCCCCACGCGGCGGAAAGGGGCGGGGCGGGGCCGCGGTTGGGGCCGGCAGGGGGCGCCACGGTTGGCGGGGGAGCGCGGGGCTGAGGCGGCCGGGGGGCCCGAACCGCGCTGACCCCAACGGGGTGCGGCGGTGCTGTCCCTGGGGGGTGGTGGTATCCCCAGGGTCGAGGTCACTCCAAAACCACAGTGACCGCAGATTGGTGCTGACCCCAGGGCGGTGGTGTCCCCAGGACCATCACCACTCCAAAGTGGGGACTCTGGAATGGTGGTGACCCCAGGATGGTATACCAGGATCATGTTGTCCCTAAAAAGTTGGTGATCCTACAATGGTGGTGACTCCAGAGTGTTGGCAAGCCAGAATGCTGGTGTCCTCGAGCTGGTGGTGACACCAGAAGAGCAGTGTCCCTGCAGCAGCAGTGTCCCCAGGACGGTGGTGACCCCAGGGCGGTGCTGTGCCGGACAGGACATCCTGTGCGGGGCTAGGGCAATCGGTGCTGCTGACTCAGCCATGGCCCCGTGGGTTTCCTGCCTCGAGAGGACAAGGGGGGCCATGGGTGTAGCAGGGGTTTCCTTCCCAGAGTGCTGTTGAGGCTCCAGCCGGTCCCCTCTGGCAGGCAACAGGACAGGCAGGGCTCAGGGACCAGCCATGTGGCATGTGGCAGTCCCCATGTGCTGCCTGTCCCCCGCCTGCTCTGGCCAGGGCTGGCCCCATTGGGCTGAGGGCC